TCCTTCCTTCCTTCCTTCCTTCCTTCCTGCCTGCCTGCCTGCCTGCCTGCCTGCCTGCCTGCCTCCGCCTTTCTGATCCCATATGTTTGGGCTGAAATTCTCTCCTTTTCCTTTTCCTTTCCTTATGGAAAGCTGAACCTTCATTTTCTCACTTGGTGAGAAAAATGTTTCTGTTTGTTCCCTACTGTCTAAATTTCTTTTCACTCTCATACTGACCTCCCTCACTACAGCATTTACTCTCCCCTTTTTTTTTGGTCACAGAAAAATTCCCAGGTAAACCTATGATCAAAAGCTCAGCAGAGTAGGCTGCAGCTGTAAAACAAAAGTATTATTGTACATATTGGTTATTAAATCTGATCTGGGATTCTGTACATACCTATTGTGCAGCTGTAAAAACAAAAGTATTATTGTACATATTGGTTATTAAATCTGATCTGGGATTCTGTACATACCTATTGTGCAGCTGTAAAAACAAAAGTATTATTGTACATATTGGTTATTAAATCTGATCTGGGATTCTGTACATACCTATTGAGGCGCAGTAAACTATTTAATTTTTTTTTTTTAGTTTTAAAACCTCAATAGATATTAAATAGACATTTTAAAAACTGATTTTGTACTGTGAGCCTGCCTGTGGTTCAAAACGGTCCACCTGTTAGGTGGCATGTGTCACCAGAACATGTGACAGTATACCTGTAGTGCAGGCCCCGCACTGGATTCCAATAGGCTTCCAGATGCAATTCAAACTTCTGGTTTTGACCTATGTAGCCCTGTATGTCTTGGTAGCCAGATATCTCCATGATTGCATCCTCCAAGTACAATGACTCAACCGACTTGATTGTCCAGGGGGAATCTGTTGCTAGTATCCCACTTCTGTGAGGTGACAAGGACTAAGACATGGAGATGCTGCTTTTCTTTGGTAGCACCTGTTCTTTGGAGCATTCCTCCAGTTGAAATCAGGCTGGGCCCTCAGGGTATTTCTTTCGGAAGATGCTGAAGAAGGAGTTCTTCCAAAGGGCTCTTATACATTTAGCTGTGGCTGTTTGGCTTTTTGTTTTGGTATTACTTTTCAGTTTTGGTCTGGAGAATTATTTATTTACTTATCATTTATATTTACCATGAATGAGCTACATTCCAGGTTATGTAAATTTGTTAACTGCCAGAAGTCATAGAATATTACAGTTGGTTACATATTGAATAAAGAAACAAATAAATGGTAGGTTTATGGGTAGGAATAAACTACTGTAAACATTCATTATAAAAATCTGTGATCCTCCCCATTTGGAGTGTGACTGTACCCTCACCCACTTTTAGAGTATAATCATTGATCTACTGGTCAAGAGCTAGGATAGCCATCATCCCAACAGAAACTGCATACCCCTACATTAGCTAGGTGAACTATGCACCAATAATAAACTAAATGCACCAGCTTCAGGAATTTTCAAGATCCTAGGCAAATATTCCATGCAAATTTAGCCACTGTGAGATTAATAGAAGTGAATGATAGAGCAAATCTGGACACTTGTGGCTCATACATTGTAGGCATAATAACTGCCATTGCTCCCACAAGTAACTTCTCATTAAAAATCTTCATTATACAGACCCAACTGACACCTGCCTTATTAGTTTTCAACAACAGAGATAAAAAATAACTCTATTATCAAAAGTTAATGAAGGTTTATGACTTCTGTTTTCACTAAAGGATTTGACCACTAATTTCAAATACAAATGCTTTTCTTTTGTCATATTTTGACACCTAGTATTTAATTATTTAATTATTTCAATGTTTTAATGCTAATGGTTGTGCTTTGGATTAATTGTTAGTTAACAAATTTATAGATTTGTAATAGTTTTCATGTTTCTGGATGCACAAGGGTGTAAAAGCAGAACATTTTTTAATTTAACTTTTCTCTTACAGTCTAGTGTGTAGAGTTAAAGAGTCTCTTCATGAGCAAGGGCAGTTTCTATACATGGTAGGCATCCTGGGTTTCAGTCTTAATATATTTTCTGTAGGTGTTAATATTTTTTTTATTGCCTATTTTCAACCTATTGCTCTTACATATTTAACAAGACTTATTTTGATTAAGCAGTAAAATAATATAGATCTGCTACTCACATATTTAGTATGTACATACTTTCTTACAAGTCATTAGTAGTAATTATTTCCTATGTACAGTATTTATTTAACTACATGTATTCATAAGAATGCTATACAGTATATTGAAAAGACCTTTTATTTAAGACATTCATTTGGATGTTTTTGTTTATGCTAGTTGACACTTTTGTTCATTCACTTAATATAAAGAAAATTATTTTATATATTACTCTGTATGAGGAGATTATGAAGCTAGGGTAGTAAAAGAATCAGTTTAATCAGAACAGTTTTACTTGCTTGATAATTATTTTTACTCCCCTCCTCCCTTCCCAGCAAACATTGCCATCTGAAGGAAACAACAACAACAGCTTCTCACTTCCTAGTAGGATAATGGGAGTAAAAGAGCGGAGGTGTGATTTCATGATCACAGCAAGCTGTGTTTTATTCAGAATTTTAACTATAACGTTCAAAAAGTGTTCTGTAACCACATGGAAACCATGGCATGGGGAACAGCTTGTAGGAGGGAAATTGTGAGGTGGGCTAAGGAGAAAATATATTAAAAGGAATCAGAAAGTATTTCTGCTTATGTAATGTGACCAGAATGCAGCTCTGATTTTATATTCAGATAAAAGGCACTGTGGATAGTGAAATACTCTGCCTTCTTACCATTCTCCAAAAAAGTACGATTTATATCAATCATATGGTTTGGCAATGTCTAGTATTGGGAATCTGAAATGCAACAATATTCTGGGCTGTTAAGGGAATAATGCAGTTGTAAGACTAGAATACACAGATTTATTCCTTACTGTCCTAAGTCTTACAGAAATGATGTTGCAGTATCTTTTCAACGCAGTCAGTTTTGGCTTGTTATCTGAGATCAAACAATCAGTGGCAGTTTAAGCAAACTGAAATAAATCCACACTGAATAAAGAACATTCTGATTCATAAGATGCAGCTCATGCTTCTTCTGCTTAACAGACCTAATATTTTAGTGATACAAGAATTTCACATTTTTGCTGGACATCTGAGGTGACCCTATTTGCCAAGATGATTAATTCTAGCCCTCTAAGATGATTTTCCAAACTCTGTAGAGACTGGTAGAATGCTTCTTACATGTAAAACAAGAAACAAGACTGATACAACTACTATGCAAAATTACAGTTATATAAAGGAAATTGCTTTATTTTAATATCAGTTTAGTCAATTTTCACTTCCCAAATTTATATATGAACTAATAGACTAAATCTGCACTTCTAAAAATTTTACAATGCAGTTTACAACTAAAAAATATGCAATAAACTTATATTAAAGAAACTCACTTGCAAAAATGAATATTGTGAAAAATAAATATTTAAAAATTGCATAATTACAGAAAAATGTGTCCCAAAAATCTGTATCAGAAGCGTTTAAATTGTATGACTTTTCAAGTGAACAATTTTGAACATTTTTAAAAATAACGCTGATGCAGAAACAGAAGTGGACTATGAATTTAAGATTTTAAAAATTAGAAATTATATGTATCTGTTTCCCATTCTTCCATAACCTAGTAGTCTGCTCTGAGGAAAAAGATTTGCTATCAGCAGTATTAAAACAAAAATTGATTTAATTTTAATAAAAAACCAAATTAATTAAATTATTTACTATATTAACAAAAAAGGAAGATGATCTGCATTTTAAACAACTTCTCTCAATAGGAACATTAAAGAAGGGCAATTTATTTTATACTATTTTATTTATCGTATTTATATTTATATAATTGTCACCATTATCGTGCAGAAAAGCCAAAAAAGTCAGGGATAGTTAGGTCTAGTTAACGGGATTTCCAACAACTGAGCACTAAGGTTTTTGGGAATGCCTACCATCTTCTCCAATATCTATGCCAACTGATGGCAATGGGAGATGGAACAACGTCTCAGATGTAGATGGTGAGTATCACGTGTATTTTTCTTCTGATGTAACAGGGAACCACAATTTCAATTACTATTCACAGCACGTAATGCACATTATTTCACTCAAACTGCAACTTAGACAACATCTTAACATATCAACTGGTAACACAGGGACACTCCTACTCATTTCCATATTTGGTAGTCAAGAAATCTCACCATCTGATCATTTTTGAATTTCTATCCTGTAATAATTATTGTTAAAGAAAGACTTACTTGAGGGTTGTGAGCTCTGTAAGTGATGGCTGGGTGGCTTTAAGGTAGCTCTCTCTGCGCGCAGCAATCTTTGGAGATGGCTTTGGGCTGGTGTCAGAGTCCCCACTGTCATCATCTCCCATGGCTTTAATGTAGCTGCCGCTACGCATTCGTCGACATGGAATCTCATCATCTTTGCCACGAGGAGTGTATCCAGACCATTCATCTTGAGGAACCTACAATGCAAACATTTTTTTTAATTAATATTTTTTTCAGTTTGCAGAGAGAACGCTGATGCTGAATCCAAGCTTGCTAAATCCTTCCAGAAGCTGTATAGGGGCAGGGGAAGCTATAACTGATTCTGTGATTATATCAAAGTATATTATACCATGAGGCAGTGTCTTTATGTGCATTCACTGCCAAAGTCATTGCAAATGAATTGCTTAAACTGTTCAGCAGAGTGGGCATATCTAATAAGAAACTTACAAATGAAGCACTGAGCTTTCAGTCTGTATCACTGAAGCATTTGTATGTAAACATGAGCATATCCACAACCCCTTCTGATGGACAAAGTGACAAAGAGACATAATCAAATTCTCAAAACTATGTTCTGGCTTGTACTCTTTGCATATAGAGAAGAGCCACTAGGAGTCAGCTCCTTTGAGCTATTAAATGGGAGAAAGCCTGGGATGATGGGTTTCATGTAGTGAAAGAAGACTGGGCCAGCGAAGTTCCAAGTGCAAGCAACTTAGCTGACTACAATCTCCCACAAAAGGAGGGGTTGCAAAAACTACAGAGCACAAGAAAAGCTGAAATTGGGACAAGACATACCAAAGTGCTGATATAATACTAAGGCCATATTAAAATCTCTAGTAATATGAGACAAAGTTTTGTGGCTGGCTGACTTGGGACCTGGGGTTTCAGTCTGGGAAGATTCTTGCTAGAGGTTGT